GCTGGGCCGCCGCGGGGCTGCGGGGCTGAGGGCCAGCCGCCTCTCCGGCACTGCCCAGGCCGGGCCCCTGCCTCACAGGGGCCTGGGTTTGGGGTGCAGGGCGGGCCAGGGGCTGACTCGAAGTTGCCGCGCAGCGTCCGCACGGACACCCCGCACTCCTGGATCTCGCGCTGTGCCTCGCTCCTGGGGGGGCTGGCAGGGGCCTCTCCGCGGGCCTCCTGCGGGGGCCGGCCCGCGGCCTTCTCCTCGCCCGGCACCAGCCCGTTCATGCCCTTCAGCAGCAGGGACATGCTGCGCACCAGCCGGGCGATGTGGCTGCACCAGAAGGGCAGGGGCTGCTCACCCGGAGCAGCCTCCGAGGCCCCCGCGGGGCCCCTGGGCTCGGCCGCTGGGGCGGGGGCCTCCTCACCCTCTGGTCCGGGTCCCCGGGGCAGGAAGTGGCTGTTGACCGTGATGCTGACCAGGGGGGTGGGCAGCAGGGCCTGCAGCTCGGCCGCCAACCGGCCCAGCTCACTCTCATACTCCTGGCAGCGGCGCCTCAGCTGCAGGTCGGCGATCTGCTTCTCCAGGTACACCAGGTCGTCCTCCGTCAGCAGCTCCCCGAAGGGGCCCAGGATGGCCCGGTGGGTCTGTGAGTACCGCCAGGCTGCCTGCTCCGTGGGGCCCACGCTCCCGCGCTCACCCTGGGCACAGGGAGGCCAGGTCAGCCGGGGCTGAGGCCCCCGTGGCCTTGCAGCGGGGACAGGGCATGTTCTTGCTGGACACAAGGCCCCCGAGGGTGGCCTGGCCCCCGGTGCCCCTGGGGACCCTAGCCCAGCCCCTACACACCAGCTGGCCCTGCCCAGATTTAGAGCAGAAACAAGGACGCTGGCCGGCCCCGGTCCTGAGTCTGAGGCTCAGGGCAGCCACTCTGCCCTGTGGGGGCCCAGTCTTTGCCCTCAGAAGACGGGGCCTCTGCTCTGCCACCCCCACATCCTCCCAATCTCATCTCCTCGCTGTCCAATCCAAAGGGTCTCTCTCCTCAGAGCCTCCCAGGCCCTCCCCCCAAGCTCCAGAGCCTTCTGTGGTTGGGTAGCAGCCTCCAAAGAGGGCGGCTTCTCCCACCCAGCTCTGGGTCCTCCTGGTGGCTGCCCTGGCACCAGGGTCCAGCCCCGCCCCCCAGTGCCCACGGCCTCTGGGACAGACACAGAGGGGCCCTGCGCTGGGCTCCCTCTGGGCTCAGGCTCTGTGCCAGCCTGATCACAGCTCAGAGCCCCCTGAGGGAGGGGCCCCAGTTCACAGGGGAGGGGCCTGAGCCACCACCTGGTTGCTCAGAGGCCCGAGATTGCCTGGCGCCAGGCAGGGCTCTGCTCTGAGAAGTCCTGATTCCTTGGCCCAGCAGACCCAAGGGCACGGAGCGGAGCCGCCCAGGGACGAAGGCTGTGGCCAGGCTGGGACACCACTTCCCTCAACACGCCAGGTGAGGATGACACGTAGGCATCAGCCACCTGTGGCTACAGAAATGGAATGTGGCTCGTCCAACTGAGAAGCGGGAGTTTGACTTTTGTTTCATTTTAATTAATTTAAACGGCCACACGTGGCTAGCATGACCGCGTGGGACAGGGGAGCTCTGACCACGGGCTGTATAACACTCACCATTCAGACAAAATCCTATTCCGCTATGTCCCCCAGCAGCTAGACGAAGCCTGCTACCACCCAAGTCAAATCACAGCTTCTCTGCTCGGATTCCCAAAGGCTCCCCAGGGGCCTGATGGTGAGCCGTCCTGTTCCCTCTCTGACCTCACCTCTGCCCATGACACCTCATTCACTCTGCTCCGAGGTACCAGCCTATTCATGCCTCAGGACCTTTGCATGTGTTCTCTCTGATTAGAGTCACTTGTCCCAAATCCTCACAGGGTTCCTCTCTTATTTCTTTCTGGCTCCTGCTCAAGATCTCCTCCTCAGAGAGGCTGCTCCTGAGCACCCATATGGAATACCCACTCCCCTTTGCGCGGCTCTGCTTCTCTCCGTGACACCTGGAATCACCTGCCCAGCCCAATCACCCTGCCTTCCCTGCTGGAATATAAGGGCTGGGAGAGCAGGGCCGGTCCCCTTCACTGCCCGGCACAGGGCCCGGCACAGGGCCCGGCACAGGGCCCGGCACAGGGCGGAGGTGGGGTGAAAACCGTTGGACAAAAGAACATGTGCCTACAGCACCTCTGACGCAGGTGAGGAGGCTCCCAGCTCCCTGATCTGCTTCCACTTCATCGTCCGTCAGAGGAGGAAGCTGGGGCCACAGAGGGGAACTCTGGGTTTCCAGAGTCGAGGTGTGGGCTCAGGCCCCCCACCTTCCACGTCT